CGCCGACTTCGGCGTGGCCGTGGTGGACTGCTCGTGGGCGCGCCTGGCGGAGGTGCCGTTTGGGCCGCCTGCGCGCTGGGCACCCGCGATTGCTGCCGTTCCTCGTGGCCGCAAACCCCGTTAATTACGGCCGGCCGTGTAAGCTGTCCTGCGTCGAGGCGCTGGCCGCCACCATGTTCATCACAGGGTTCGAGCGCGAGGCGCGCCTCTATCTCAGCAAGTTGAAGTGGGGCCGCCAGTTCGAGGCGCTTAACGATGAACTGTTACGGGCGTACGCCGCATGCGCAGATGGCGCTGCCGTCGTGGCCGCGCAGCAGGCGTACCTGGCGAAGGCGCGGAGGAGAAGGCGGCGGGCGGCAGCGGAAGATGATCTACCGCGCTACACGTCCTCCGAGGGCGAGGACGAGGAGGAAGAAGAGGCTGCGGAAAGAGGGGAGGAAGAAGAGGCTGCGGAAAGAGTAGAGGAAGAAGCTGCTTGCGAGCGTCGTGAGTCCGGAGTAACGGCAGAGGTGCAAGTGGTTAACGGTGCTAAGGCTGAGGCTGGGGCTGGCGCCGGCGTCGGCCAGGTGAGCAGGGATGCGTCCAAGGACACGGCCGACGTCGGCCAAGACTCGGCTATGGCTGAGCGGACTACGGACGACCGTGACGCTACAGATGCCAGCGCGGCGCGCTGACGACTGCAGGCTGCAGGTGATGTTCGACATAAAGCTGTGGTGAAAGGCATTGTTATGGCGGCGTCCGGCGGTGCCCCCGGGCCTCGTGATGTTTTTTCAACCGATAACAGTATGGTGTCATGTGTGACGAAGGCAGCCCTGCGTTAGAGCAATGCCACGGACGGTGAATAAAGTGAAAGTCGCCAACACCAGCTATCTCTTTGCTGTAGTGCTCCAGCGAGAAGCCAACAAGACTGCGCTGCACTTGAATGCCTGAAGGATATCGTTCAAATATAGGCGTGCATCTATGCACAAACGCGCAGAAGGTTGGACGCTGCCGCCCGCTCGCGCGAGCGCTCCAAGAAGGCTTCGATGATCTCGCGTCCGAACGTGTGACTTGTTCCCCCGATCAGGCCGCGACACTTTGGGTACGCGATGCGGGGCCGACCGAAGCTCAGATTCACTCGGCTCGGTTTACCGACAAGAGCAACTGTTCCGCTGGCACCGTGCCGTATTTCTCGGTTGTCTAGGTAAGTTCCGCCGCGAAGGCACTCCTACGCGTTCGCACGGCTGTGGCTCCCCAAGCCTAACATATCCTCCCCTTCCACAGATCCTCCGTCGCGGCGGTGACGGGTCATTGCAATGCGCTTTTCGAGGCAGCGCTCCCAACGGGCGTCGACTCTCACCGACTTGACGGCCACCGTCGGCTTCGACCGCCCAGCACCCAGCTGTGGCGGATCCGGCGCCCTGAGCCAACGTTGACCAACCCAACACCCAGGGCCAATTATCACCAGCCGACTGACCGAGCCGGTACCCGTCGTCACACGCCGGCGCCAGTCAGTCGTCACCAGCCGGCGCCAGCAGACTCAGCAGTCGTCACCAGCCCGCGCCAGCTCTCGTCAGCGCAGCGGCCAGCGCCATGCTGCTGGGCCACGACCAGGCGTTCAGCAGGGTGGTGCTGACGCTGGCGGCCCTGCTGTCGGCCTACGTGCTGTTCTGGCTGCTGGGCCTGCCGTTCGTGGAGGAAGGGCACGCGCTGCGGCTGTGGTTCCCGTCGCCGCTCTGGCTGGTGGTGCCGACAGCGCTGCTGGTGCTGGTGCTGATGTGTGCCGTCGCCTTGACTGTAGTCACCACCGGCTGGGACTGACCGATGGCGGCGCAGGGCGGTGCGGCGGACCGGACGGCACGGATGAAAGACCAGCGGCTTGTTTCGATTGCGTTTGCCAAGTACTGCTACGGTAATCCGGATGGTTTGATGAAATCTGTTCACATGAACGTATGGTTCGCGGTGTTCTTGATTAGAGTGCTGATCGGTTGTGGTGGTGACACAGCAACGCGCTGTGTTGCGCGGCGTACGCACTTTGCTGCTGCGCCCAAGTCATAACTGCCGTTGTATACCTGTTGCGAAATGTGATAAGTTTGATGGCTGCCCATCTTGTTCGCAGGGTTGTATAGACATCCGATCTCGGGTAGCCGATGCCGGCCGTGCGTAAAGTCACGATACCCACCGCTTCCGTGTTCATCAATATATCTTCCATTTCATATGATTCATCTATTTACATACATTCTCTGAGCTTATAACATACCATGACGTTCTAATGACCAGACAAGAACTTGGAGAGGAAGTCCTTAGGCTTGGGATCCTGGGACTCCTTGAAGTAGTAAGACATGAGATGGTGCTTCTGCTTCCAGATGTTCACAGTCTCCTTCAACTCCTGCTGGCCCTGGGGATACAGAGAGAGGTCGCTTGGCATCGAAAAACGAATGGACTTTGATCACGTGGTCCTTGCGCCCATATAGGCACACCGTATGCCAGAGCACTCACGCATTATGGCATAACGCATGAGTCTTGTGGCCAAATTATGACGGGCAAACAATTTGAAAAAAAAACATCCACGGGATACGCACTTAAATGAACCAATACTACTGGTCACGTGACCAGGGGGGCAACAATGCAAGCAACTATCTCGGAAGCATGACCAGCTATTTAAACGATGCCTTGGAGCGTAAATTTGGGCTAGTGAAGGGATCGGTTTCCGTTCAAGCACCACTTCAAGTTATCAACATCTGCGAAACGAATGACGCGAATGAGCGTGAACCCTCCTCAAACGCTTACTAATGTGAGTGTTTCGGGTCAATTCGTAACGGCAATCCTACGCATGACTCAAAATATTTACATGAACTGATCAGTAATTTGTAACCTTCTGCAGCAGCCATCCAGTTTTCCTTCATGCCGCAAAAGAAATGGTTGCCTAATCAGGAGAAGGCATATGCTTAACTGCCTTCTTAAATCATGTTAATCACACCAGTGATGTGGGTGCCCCCGACCATCACGATCCGTCCAACATAGTCCGCAAAAGGCTAAATAGGAGTCTTCTTGTATGTCACTTATGTCTTACTAGTAGTATTACATGACTCATTGTGACAGCTGTGATATGTGACCCACTATAACATCACCATAATTACCAAATTTGATGTACAAAGCAGGATACTTGTAGCCTAACATACAGTTTGCATCCCAAACAGATGGTGAAGGCATGGCTGCATCAGATTCAAGCCCTGAATCATGATGCAACTTGTGTCTGAATCAAAATCTTCTCAAGATCGGAATGTGTTACCTGGAACCGGAACTGGAATCAGCAGTGTGCTGTTTGTCAGGATTGGAATTGACTGCCAGACTTGCATCCAAACAAGTCTGGTTTGGACATGTCTTTCTTGTAGATGTTGTCAAGTACATGCCACTTTTTATCCCATTTTCATTCAATTCTCATTCAGGTATGGGCCATGCAGTTCAATTGTGTCACCACCTATGGCATGCACAAAATTCATGATGAACACATAATTTGCATGCACCAATCTCAAGCTACTGGGAAATTTTGGCCAGGGAACAAAATATTATCAAGGTTCATTACTTACACATCTCAAGTGCAAAATGCTCCAAAATTTGTCACCATTTTTAGTCACAGGACATGTTTTGGTCGGGTATCAATGGGCTTACAGCAAATAGTTCAAAGGAGTCTTTTACTTGCACTATTTTATTTCTACCAATCTAGGGTACATTTTTCTTTTGCCATTAAAGAATAGAGAATGCTGATGTGAAGCATGTTTATTTGAGTGCACAGGGATCTTTAACGCACCATTCCCAAGTCTCAGGAAAAATACCTAGGTGCCTATGCTTCCCTGCTTGCATATATTTAATAAAGAACCTTCATTCTCTCATACTTACAGGCTGTCTAGATTATGAAGACTCTCTTATTGCCCATAACATACTTATACAAAGAGTTACAATAAACATTGGCAAACTTCTATTGTGGTAGCTTGTCAAATGACCTCTATTATAAGGTACAAGGATACCTGAAGAATCCATTAGTATGAGCTTCAGAGGATATTTGTGACAAAAAATAACTGATACCAACCTTCACCACCAGTGCATCAATTACACGGATGTCCTTCACATGGCGGTTCTGTTCAAACTTCTCTCGCAGCTTAGCCCGGCATTGTTCAACAGACTTGGGAATATCATAGTCCATCACTAAAACAGAAAACACAAGTTTGCAGCAGATCATTCAAACCAAACACAATTAATTTCTCACAAAATCTGCACACCTTCTAAAGCATTTTAACAACAACAACAGTTAAATGATTCAATGTAATGTCACAACCAAACAATGATGTGGTAATGATCAACTGCCAATGATCTGCCAACATGCAGCAGCAAAGTTGTTGTATAAGCATAATCGGTTCATGAAGAATACACAAGTGTGATTTGGTACCATCATCTGTCATTAATTATCCATCTTTACCTATGTATGGCATTTGTCTATACCATGCTTTGTACAGCCCGAACACTCTTGACTTCGCTTCTTCCCTGTTGTGCGATATTAATGGCTTGACGTGACGAACTGAACTTTGGACAGCTCTGCTAGCCATTATTTATCTCTAAACGAACAAGAAGCACTATATTTGAATGCGACTTCAATTTCTGCACGCTGCCCACCGTGCTCCAAACGGCCCTAAACACCCCACAGTGATAGCTCGTAGACAGCTTGTAAAAAAATCTTCTCAGGGATTGGTGCGCCATGAAGGCCTCAGACAATTGATGCAATTTTATGTATACAAGCAAAGATCTGACTTTTGCAATGGCCATATTGCTTTGTGTCCTTTTATTTTTTTGCAAATGAGGTTTATTTTTTAGGAAAAATATGATAAAAATATAAGCTTCATGCAGTACAATGGTTTGATTCTGACAATAGTTATGCATAACTGCAAGGTATGAGGTGAATTTCCTGCTATTTAAGCTACCATATTACATGAGTGCTTTTGGGCTCGCATTGAGGACGACAGACTGTGGAGAAGAGGGCGGGATCTGGTGGGGGTCCCGCGGGGGCTGCGGTTCGTATGCGCTGAAGGGGTGTCTGTATTTGCTTGTTGCATAGGCATTGCTCGTTGACAGTGGGCTTGATACCCACTGGCACCGAATCCCCTATGGATGCATAGTCATCTGGGCTTGTTCGGACGTGTTCAGATCTACGTATACTTCTTGAAGCTCGTGATTGTGGGTAAGCTGTCAATGTGCTTTTCCCATTTTCCGATGTACCTGCCTTGGTAGGTTAGTCGTGGAAGTGACAAATATGGGTCAATTTCACTAACCATTATTAAGACATGTTATGCATGCACGTGTATCAAATTGAGTAAGCAGTTTTGCCACGGAGGCCCTGATGCTTATTTTGTTTTCAGGCTTATTCTGTTTTCAGGCAATGCCTACCTCAGCATTTGAGCAATAACATTTTCTGATTAAATAGGTGAACAGCTAAATCCTTAAAGTTTCCTTCCAGGTAGCTCAGTTGGTTAGAGCATATGCATTTGGAATAACCCACCCGTGGCATGGCAGATTCGAGTTGCTTCGATCACTTATTTGCCCCCAGCTGAGATGGCTTCTGGCTGGTAGAAGCAACCTCATTAATGGTCTGGTGACATAAAAAAGCAGGATTTAGTGTGCAAGGCATTGTGCCACATTAAACTTTGGCCACAAAAGTGTCAATTCCGTGAGCGTGGCTCAATGTAGGCTTTTATTGCAGGAACCCATGGATTCAGATTGGTTAGACCAAATCATGAAAGCTGTGGAGCAGGTAGCATGTAGGGTCTGATCTGATCCCATACACAAAGTGTTTGTGTGTATGGGTCTTGTAGCATACCATGTACAACACATGACCATGGCACATGTTGAGTTGTTGAAGCTTCTGACCCAATAAGCCATGACTTTGAATATATTTTGATAGATCTATTAAAGGGGCTCCAGCTTGGTGGGTGCAATATTACTGCATGTTTTCTGAGGGCTAGGGTCTTTATAGCTCATTATGGAGCAGGCAACAGTCTTCATTCAAATTAATCTGATTTGTTTTTACTGTGTTGTGTAATGTTAATAAGTTTTGTGATCATTCCTGTTTTCTTTAAATGATGTAGTGATGCAAAAAATAATGTAAAATAGTGAATAATGATGTAATGCTAAGCAAACCTGAATGCCATGTTTTTCTATCTGTGGTAGTCCCGTGTGTAATGGTAAATTGCGGCCAATTTGATCTAAATGTTGCGGATAGCGTCTTATTTGTTCTCTTCTGTTCTTGACTGAAAATAATGTCATTGCAGCCTGCTGACAATGGATGTCAGTTCATTACAAGCCCTGGAGCATCTGATGAATGAGTTCTTTGCGGCGGGCACCACAAACAGTCGCAAGCAGCAAATAGAAAAAGCCTTGGAGGAGTTCAGCCAGCAACCAGCAGCATGGAAGAACTGTCTGCTCTGCATTGCTGGCACATCCAACCCCTATGTCAGCATGTTCTGCATGACATCACTCGAGGTATGGCCGACATGGTAGCCAGGACAGTGGAAATAGTACTGCACTGTGAGGCTATAGTGAAATCTTACATTCAAAGCACATTTCATGTTGTTTTAGAGGGGAAATTTATGCGCTTCTTGCAATAGTTTGTTGAAAACAACCAACCTGTCCATATCCATATCCATCTGATGCCTCAGGTGGTTAGAGGCTCTAACTACTGATCCAACCACCTGTGGCGGGGTGGCTTTGAGCCGCTTCAGGCACTCGCTGTTCTTGACAGGTTTGACCTGCAGCTAGTGGCAGCTGTGCGCTAAAGGTCAGGTGACATCAGAGGGCTGGGCAGGTGTGCCAAGCAGCGCAGCAGGTTAAATTTTTCCCACCAAATTTGGTTGTTGACGTGAAATCGCACAAACAGGTGGTTGAGGTTAGGGCTCATTCAGGGAAACTGCTCAGCATGAGCTCTGATCTAAAAAAAAACTATTCGCTTGGGAGCTCTAGATTGAGTTGAAAAAAATAATGGAGTGTGTAACAGGAAAAATGTCCTATAAATTTACCTTTCCCCCATCAGTTCCATTGCTACCTTCCACCATCATCCTATTGCCATCTGCCGTCTTATTGCGCCACCGCCGCCTTCAGTCACTGCCTGCCTCTCTCCATCAGAGTGTGATCAACAAGCAGTGGCTCGGTCTGAGGTCGGAGGAGCGTGCGGAGATCCGTGGCTCCCTGTACAGGCTCTGTCTGGAGCGACACCACCTGCTGGCGCCGTACCTGCGCAACAAGGCCGTCAAGCTGGTGGTGGACGTGGCCCGCCTCAGCTGGCCCCAGTTCTACCCTGACTTCTTCAGCAACATAATCACTGTGAGCTGGGAATGGGTGCAGGCTGTTGGGCAGCCAGAGGCTTGCATGGTGCTGGGGCAAAGTATTGGCAGTGTCGTGTGTGGCCAAAGAGGGGAAGGTTGTGGGCTGGTTTTGTGATCCACTGGAGCTTGAGTGGTATGCACGATTTTCTGTGGGAGCTTCAGCCAGACAGGGTGAGGTGCGGCGATCTGTGGGCACCCGGGCGAGTCGTTGTGCAAGCTGAAAGGTTGAACAGTGGAACATACTGGCTTGTTTTTGAAGCTGATAGCCAAAGCTGGTGGAAGTATGAAGATGGAAGCTGAGTAGATAGAGATGTCACAGTGCAAAACATGTGTTGCTCCAGGCCTGACTATAGCAATTTATGGTCTGGTCTGGTGACCCCTAGGCCTCAGCCAGTGAACCAACCTAGTGACCCACTGACCTGGCCTCTGACTCCATGGCTGTGCTCTCAAGCTGGTGCAGTCGCCGGACGCGGCGCCTCTGGGCCTGCTGTTTCTGCTGACGGCCGCCGAGGAGCTGGTGGCGCCGCGCGAGGACATCAGCTGTGCGCGCCGCGCCGAGCTGCGCCAGCTCCTGCTGCGTGAAGTGCCCGCCACGCTCACCGTGCTCACCGGTGAGGCCAGCAGAGATGGTGCAAATGCTGAGGACGCAGACGATGCCACAGACGGTGTGGTCGCGACTGACGCACTCGCGCCGCATCGGGCAACTTGTGCAACTTGCAGCAATGTGCGGGCAACTTGTGCGGCTGCTCCGCGGGAGCAGCCGCACAATGGATGGGGTTCGGTTTTGGTTGAGAGTCCTTTTGTCCAGCAGTGACCATATCAGAACTATGTCAGCACTGACGTTTCTTAGAACTATGTCAGCACTGATGCATGTCAGGACTATGTCAGCACTGATAAATATCATGTCAGGCAAGGGACAGTGTAGCTCAGCTGGCAGAACACGCGACCCTTTATCAGATCTCAATAACAACTACAGTAAATGGCGGTGATTCTGCCACTGTGGTAGCTATGATGCTCTGTAATTCATGGCGATTTCTTCAAGTGGTGGTGGTGTTTTCAGGCATCTTGAGGTCCGTTCTCGAGTCGAATAAGTCCAACGTGACAGCGACGCCGCCGCCGTCGCCCGAGCAACCGCGATCGCAGCGCCGCCCTGATGGCAGCCCGGCGCAACATCTGTTCGCGCCGGCCGCCAACCCCAGCACACTGCTCAGCTGCATCCTGACATCTGACGGCGTCGATAAGAACCCCTTCTGTCTAATGGCGCCGCTTGATGGGGAGACAACGCATATTGTCGCCTTGACTCTCAAGTAAGCATAGCGAAAGATAAGTGGGTCTGTAGAATGAAAGTGAAACTGCATTGTATACTGTTCTTGCAATGAACATGTAGCAAAAATGGTTTTTATCTTTCTTCTCACCTGTAACTCTAGTGTTGGATATATTTAAAGTGTGTATTGATAGTTTTGTTTATTTTTTGCACAAGGTTTTCTTTTAGAAATTGTTCAAAACACTCAAGATTCTGACTTTTAGCCAAAAGTTCACATCATTATACATTCTGGATATTTTAGTGACAATTTGGATTTTTATAAGAACCTTTTTGCAAATGACCACACTTCACTACAGTTACTGTCTAACATCTTGATTTGGCTGATAAATGCTGGCTGATTGCACTTAGTCAACTGCCATCCAAGTGGAAGTGTTAGTGACAAAATGTGAAGCCAGTGTGCTTGACCGGTGTGGTTCTCCCCATTTCCGCCAGATGTCTCTGCCAGCTGTTCTCGTGGGTGCCGCTCTCGTCGATGATCACCTCCGAGCTGGTCACTGCTGTCTTCCACTTCGCCTCCGTGGGCTTCTCAAGGGTCAGTGCTGATGTTACGCCCTCTGTCAGAACTGATTCCCTATTTGAGAGTCAACTGACGCCCGAAGTCCGGCCGCACCGCGAGGCGAACCGCACTCTGTGCGGGATGTCACGCCTCAGGTCAGAGGTCGCGTCAAGGTCGGATACGGTCACGTCTCAGGTCAGAGGTTGCTTCAAGGTCGGAAGCTGTCATATCCGCTCAACTCGCCTGTGTATGTTTTGTGTCCTGACTGGTAGGCAGATATTGCGGTGAAATTTTGCCCAGGGCGAGATTGGACCGTTTTTTTTTCTTGGTGTACCGTTTCACCCCCGCATGTTGGCGAAGGAAGCGCCAGACAGGGGTGCCAACGTGTGCGTACGCCGTGCGCCGGCGGTATTGGCGCCGTTTGAGCCTCGGTGACGTGCAGAAGCCAGCATGGTGACTTGGGCCGTCCTGTCCCAGGAGGGTGACGCGTCAGATGGGGACCGGGGCGGCGGCGCGGCCGGCTCGCGGGAGCCGCTGGGCGTCATCGCCATCGCCTGCATCAACGAGATCATCAGGTGCCATTTACTGAGCTGTTGAGGCTGACCATGCTGCCAATGCTGAGTCCATTTGGATGTCCACCCCTGATCGAGGCTTCAGCCGATGCCAGTATCTGTGGGGGTGGGGTGGGGTTGGGGGTAGAGGTGGGGGTAGGGGTTGGGTTGGGTTGGGTTGGGTTGGGTTGGGTTGGGTTGGGTTGGTGTGGTGTGTGGTGTGTGTGGTGTGTGGTGTGGTGTGGTGTGTGGTGTGTGGTGTGTGGGGTGGGGTGGGGGAATTGAACAGAATAGCCAGCAAGTCTATGTTGAGCATTGCTCGCGGCCCAAGACTGCTCCAAATATCAGTCACGGAATGACGTAGTACGACAGGGGACCCGGAGCTCCGGCAGACACGGCAGACGTGTCTCTGGCTGGTGCGGGTGCTGTGTACATCCCGTACTCCGGGTGGGGATGGTTTACGTCGGGGAGGAGTGCTGCTGTAGGCGGGGCAATCCAGGCTGATGCCTGGGAACCGCAAGTTACAACAGCACGGCACACCGACAGTTTGCTAGTGCCACTGTAGACGTTTTTATAAAGGAGGTGCTGGTATGATCCGATGCGTTTTGTTACGGTATGTTTTGATATAGCTTTTTTAACCACGGTGAGGGTTTTGAGAGACGCTTTGGTCTCGTTGATGCGTTTCGAGGTTAATGATGTGCTAGACGTGGACTGCAGGATACTCCGCGTCAGTTAAAGCAATTTTGCGAACTTTTGCAGCAAGAACTGTGTACCGCCGGATTTCGAAGCATTCCTGCTGCAGCTGTTCAAGCACACATTCCATTTACTGCAACGTCTTCTGGAAGAGGGGAGCAAAACGTCTTGTAAGCTCTCAGAAGTGGACCCAGAGTGAGTAGGAAGTTCTCAGCACGGGAAGCGCATCTCCCCTGCCATCCGTCAAAAGGTTGTCCGGCTGGACGAGCTGATGTAGCCATCTGCGCTGTCCTGTGTACCGAACCGCTGTGTCTCTTTAGTGTTCATTTCAGTTCAACATCACTTTTTAAATCGCCGCCCTCAGTGTGCAATTACATCGTACCTTGTACTGGGTATGTGTAAGATGTCCTTGGTCTTCCCGAATTTCGGTTATTTGTTGGTGACGCTGCTGTTTGCTAGTGACGCTGCTGTCGTTGGTGACGCTGCCGTGCGTATGCTCGTTCGTGACGCTGCTGTGCATATGTTTGTTGGTGACACTGCTGTCCGTTGGAGACGTTGCTGTCCGTTAGTGACGCTGCCGTCCGTTGGTGACGCTGCTGTCGTTGGTGACGCTGCTGTGCGTATGTTTTTTGGTGACACTGCTATCCGGTGGAGACGTTGCTGTCTGTTAGTGGCGCTGCCGTCCGTTGGTGACGCTGCTGTCGTGGGTGACGCTGCTGTTCGAATGTTTGTTGGTGATGCTGCTGTCCGTTGGTGACGCCGTCGGCCCTCCCCAGCTACCTGAGCGGCCTGACCGAGTTCCTGCGTCTGTTCGTGACGCTTCACCTGCGCCGGCTGGAGGCCTGGCCCCAGTTCCCGGTGCTGGACCTGCTGGCTCTACTCTTCCGCTACACCTTCCTGCAGCCCGACCTGGACGCCTACTACGGCTGCCTGGACATCTGGGCCGTGTTCCTCGACCATCTGGCCACCAAGTGCAGCCTCAAGACTGAGAACCGCGAGGCTGTCGCCGCCAAGTGAGTTGGCCGCCGGCCGCCAGGCGGCAGCACTGGCAGGCGCCAGGCGACCGCTCTCAACTCGATAAATGGATGAGCCGTGCTGGGATTGCGTTCAGATGCGTCGATTCGGGTTTAATGGCACATACAGTAGTCAATGGAAGTGAAAGAACAAAAGTGACGACTTTATTCCTTTGAACATTTTTTTTCGTATTTCGTTCCATGGAGGTTGAACGATTTGTCTTGATTGGCACCTAGGCGGATGTTCTGAGTGGCTATGTTCAAAGCTTTCCTCCCGATTTTCCAGTATACGTTGTCGAGCTTCTTTTGTTCGCGACCATTGGGCCATGTAACAACGCGCGCAGACCCCACGTTGTGGCAGCGCTCGGCTCACGTACAGATGCCCATAACCGCCCACCTCCCCGCATCACGACCACTCCCATCCCGCTGTCTTCGTCGACGAACGCCGACCGCCGCCGGGGATCGAGCCGGTGCCCCTGCGGCGGCAGGTACCACGAGGCGGTGCTGTCGCTGGCGGGCCAGGCGCTGCAGCGGACTCAGCTGCGGCGGCACGGCGCCGAGCTGGAGCGGCTCGACGACGAGCGCGAGGACCCGGACGGCCAGACCGAGTGGAGCGAGCTGCTGCGGCGCACGGCCGACCTGCTGGAGCGCGTGGCCACGCTCTACCCGCTGGACGTGCGCGCTCTGCTGGTGAGAGGCGGGCGGCGCGGCGGCGGGGGCCGCCCCGCGAACGCGCACGGCGGGCGTAAGGCGAGGCGTGGGCCCAGCGCCGTGCGCTCCGGATGTGGCTGAGAGACCTGGGCACTCCACTTACGGCGGGGGAATTTGTATCGCGGTGGGGCCTGAGGTAATGCACTGTCCCAGTGAAAGCGTACTTTGGCCCGCCGGCACCGTCCCTGGCGCTGTCCGATTTACTATGTGACAGCTCACCATATATCGGACGTACCCTCGGGTTCGTGTCGCATATCAAGTTCTGTACTTGACATACGCCTGCATGAATAGTTTGTTGGTGCCAATGCTATCCGCTGGTGACGCTGCTGTCCGTTGGTTACGCCGTCCGCCATCCCCAGCTACATGAGCGGCTTGACGGAGCCCCTCCCGGCCCCTGACCCCGTTACGGTCCCTGCCGTCAGCTGACCCCGGCCGTGACGTGCGCCGCCCTGTGCCGCAGCTGACCGGCTGGCACGAGACGCTCGAGCCGTACGTGTCGCTGCCGTCCCTGTGCGAGCCGACGGCGGCCGGCCGCCGGCTGCGGCTGGCACCCGACGCCGACCCGTCACGCCTGCAGGCGGCGCTGCGCGACCTGGCCACGCACCTCTACATGCTGGGTCGGCTGGCGCCGCTGCTGACCGAGTGCGGCCCGGACGCCGGCCCGCTGGTGCACGAGTGAGTGGTGCCGGGGCCCGCTGGTGCAGGTGTGAGTGGTGCTGGGGTCCACTGGTGCACGAGTGAGTGGTGCCAGGGCCCGCTGGTGCAGGCGTGAGTGGTGTCAATGCCCGCTGGTGCACGAGTGAGTGGTGCCGTGACCCGTTGGTCTACGTGTGAGTGGTGCCGGGGCCCGCTGGTGCACGAGTGCGTGGCGTCGGGGCCCGATGGTGTACGAGGGAGTGGTGCTGGGGCTCTGCGGTGCCGCCGGAGACGGGGTGGCGGAGGCAGTCAGAGGACACACTGCGATCGGATCGCAGCTGTATGAAGCTCCACCGGTAGTTCGTGTATGTGTCGAGCTCACGACCCTTCAGTCTCCAGTTTGGCGCTCTTCCCTCTACCGGGTACCATCCCCCCGTGCTAGCTCCGTGGCCGCCTGCGCCCTTGCCGCGGCGCCGTGCGAGCGGCCTCCGGTCCCCGGGCTCGACTGACCGGGTGCCATCCCCCCGTGCTAGCTCCGTGGCCGCCTGCGCCCCTGCTGCGGCGCTGTGTGAGCGGCCTCCGGTCGCCGGGCGCGGCTGACCTCTCCCGGCCGTCTCCCGCCGCCAGGCTGGTGAGCGCCGCCGCGTTCGGCTCCGCTCAGCGGCTGCACGAGGCCGAGCTGCCGCCGGGCGCGCTGCGGCCCACCCTAGTGGAGGTGCACGCCCAGAGCCTGGCCACGCTGCGGCCCTGGTGCCACTGGATGACGGCCGCGCTCGCCGGCCACCTCTCCACCAGCGTTCAGGTACCGCCAGCGGTCACGGCGATAGCCAGAGCGAGTCACGGCCGGTGACCAGGGCGGGTCATCGGCCGGTGGCCAGAGCAAGTCATCGGCCACCGCTGCCCTCCGTCACTAGAATCTTTGCGATATCATCACCAGAATCTTTGCGACGTCATCACCAGAATCTTTGCGATGTCATCACCAGAATTTTTGCGATGTCATCACCAGAATCTTTACGATGTAATCACCAGAGTCCTTGCGATGTCATCACCAAAACATTTGCAATGTGATCACCAGGATCTTTACGTCATTACCAGTGTCTTTGCGATGTCGTCACTAGAATCTTTGCGGTGTCATCACCAGAGTGTTTGCGACGTAGCCACCGGAATCTTTGCGATGTCATCACTAGAATCTTTGCGATGTCATCACCAGAATCTTTGCCATGTCATCACCATAATTTCTGCGGTTTCATCACCAGAATATTTGCGATGTTATCACCGAAATCTTTGCGATGTCATCACTAAAATTTTTGCGATGTAACCACCAGAATCTGTCCGATGTCATCACCAGAATCTGCGCGATACCATTAGACACCGTGTTAAGAGTCCAGATTGGCTTCCATGCCGCCTTATCGCATCCCCGCTGTGCACTGGCCCGCGGTGCCCGTTCAGACGTCCGTGACATAGACAACGGCCTTCTATCTCGCGTTGATCTCTCCTCACGTGTGCCTCACGCTACGCAAAGAGTGCCTCACGCTTCGCCCACAGTCCGCGCTCCCCACGAGCGCCACATGACCACGCAGTGACGGCGCCGGTGAGCCCAGCCGGTCGCCCCCCGGTGACGCCGGCCCCGCCCTCACCGCCGCCGCCCGTCCGCCAGGTGGACGACCTGGTGGCCGAGATGACGGTGGCGGTGTGCGGGGCGGTGCAGAGCCGCGCGCCGCCGCGGCTGGTGCGCGCCGCCGTCGCCACGCTCGTCACCATCACCAGCACGGTGCGCTCGGGCGCGCTGGTCGACTGCCCGCAGATCCAGCAGCTGTATGGTCGCGCCGGGCAGCTGACGCTGGGCAAGCAGGTGCGGCGAGCGGCGACGCGCGCACGCGGCGTCCCCGCTTTGTGCTGGAATGGGGCCCTGTGAGCTGCATGGTTGGGGCGGAGCGGGCAGGTCTGGAGGGGCTGAAGTGGGAGGTTTGCTCTTAAAAATGAGTGTGTCGGCAGGCGGCTGCGTGTAACGAAACGGAACGAAAGGAGGGCAGCGGTGTACTGGCACAGACGAGGGTGGTTGTACATGCGGAAACCGGATGCGTTTTGGAAGAAGTCATTTTTGATGGAATGGTTGAGAGGACGACCGGATACACTGAGACTGATTCGGGAAGCCAGCAATGTCCACTGAGACAGGTGGGGAATGCACCGCCCTCAGCGTGGATGGGTGGGGATGGGTGGACATTTCCAGCCGGATAGTGTAATAGGCTATAAGTGGTGTGATAGTGGATAAGGGACCATTGGTCTCATGACTGGAAGGTCTGGGTTCGATGCTCCCACCGTCCCCCATCTCCGCGAGCGGTGCCGACCGACACTGATGACGTCAGCAGTGACACCCTGCGCCTTGCACCCGAGCGGTGATCACCGCCACCTGTTGGCGCGCTGGGCCGGCAGGACCGCCTGCTGCTGTACCGGGCGCTGTCGAGCCTGCTGCTGCTGCCCTGGCAGCGGGCCGGGGACCAGCTGTGGGAGGAGCGGCGTCGCCACCTGGCCGTCTTCCTCGACTCGCTGACGGCCGACTTTCGCCGGCTGCGGCTGACGCCCGGCCTCGCCGACAGCAGGGAACTGCGCGACCGAGGTCAGCGCCGGGTCACGGGGTCAGGGGTCGGGACTGGGTCAGCGAGGTCAGTGCCTGGTCAGCGAGGTCAGGCCTGGGTCAGAGAGGCTAAGCCTGGGTCAGGGAGATCAGACCTGTGTCAGGGAGGTCAGACCTGGGTCAGGAAGGTCAGGTCTGGGTCAGGAGGGTCAGGCCCAAGTCATCGAGAGCAGGGGATCAGACCGGGATCAGTGAGGTCGGGATAAGATCAGGGTGGTCAGGATGGAATCAGGGAGGTCGGGACGGCATGAGAGAGGTCAGGACTGGGTCGGTCGGTTTTCCTGTAGTTGTTCAGCTTGTTTCGGCGCATATATCTTGATTGTAGCATCGAATGCTGCACATTGCACAAATGTTCCGCAGGCGTCTTCGGGACGGACGACCTGGCCGGCTGCGTGAGGTCGTAATACTGACGGATTAGGTCATAACCAGGGCGCTTGGTCTCCTATCCGACACTGAACCAGTCCACGGCATGCAACCTAGGGTCGAGCTGATTAATGAGACTGAGGCTCAAGCCCTTTCAGTCCTCGCGAAGATCTGAGATGAGCTGTGTGCCGATGTCAGCAAAGGTCAGACGTTACAGGTATCGGCCGCCGGCCTTGTGGCGTCTGTGCGTCGTTATCAGGCGGGTGACGGCCGCCCCTCCGCCGCCAGCCAAGCCCGTGATCAGCCAGACCCTCTCGACGCTGTCGGAGATCGTGACCAACGTGCGCAGCGAGGTGACCAAAACCAAGCAGCTGTGCCACGACTGCCTGCAGGACACCATCCGGGACTCGCTCTGGGTCTTCACCGTGTTCGCCGCGCAGCCCGGTGAGACGGCGGCGCCGCAGGAGCGCGGCAGGCGACGCGGCCGGCTGCCCAGAGACGCCCGGGTTCGGATCCCGCGCGTTGCGAATTTTTTTATTTATGTGAACGGAGGCCGCAGGCTCTTACTGGAAACGTGAGAAGATTTTCGACTTGAGTGGCCCGGCCCGTTTGTCACGTTTTCTCGAAGTTAAGACCCATGCAACCACCGAGTGCGTGCTCGTGTAGTTTTCATCAACAAGAAGCTTAATGTAATGCTGTGCAGCATTAACTGTTAAGTATTTACAGGGGCGCCATTGAATCGGGTGGGTTTCCCCTGTAATATTTCAGTAACACGATATCAGTTCCAATTCTGATCACATGACAAGGGTCGAGTGTACAAATTACGAAATAATCCAGGAGCCCTGGAGAAAGCCGGATTCAGATCTTGACATGCTACTCGGCAACGACACCAGACTAATAATGTATTAGTAAAGAGGAAAGGGAAATTCGCACTATCATAAGTATGATTCGTTGTTTGCGTATTAACACGCGCTATTCCTTGCAAACAGTGGGCCCACCGGTTTTTCGCGTGATTTAAAAAAGGTCGGCAGCCTGCTACAAATCGTTAACCGATCTGAAATCGTTCCGACTCAAAGGTGCGCCAGTAAAAGGCCGGCAATCCGCCAGTGCCACCTCCTTAACCGATCTAAAATGTAAGACGCTGTGACAGAAATTCGGAGAGCTTGGGTCAAGAGAACTACGCAGTCCAGTATGCGCTCTTTGTGTCCAATGGCTATCAATCAGTTTTGTGTTTTTCGCCTTTCTGTCGCTCGCGATTGCAAAGAGTCATTACAAACACAGTGGTCTCGTGGAATAAATTTGCCAAGGCTAACCAGATTCATAACCAGACATTACCAAGGCTAACCAGATTCACAACCAGACATTGTATTTGCCACTTAGGTCTCGAACGGTTCATTAGCGGACCGCTGTCTAAGCTGCGCGGTGCACGCGGCGCACAACCCATCATGGAGCGCTGCTGATTACAATGGTTATTTAAACACGCAGAGGCCTTAGCGTCAACCGTGTATTGGTACGTTCTCGCAAAATGCATTGTCTTCAAGACTCATCAAACCCATTGGCATCGATGTGGAACGTGCCTGGCTACCACATATAATGTCGCCTCGCCCGCCTCCACCGCCAAGACGCCTTGATGCTCGGCATGACGCCTTGTTACGCCAACAGCCGCGCGGTCGTGTAACACTCACCAGCGAAACAGCTCGTGAGACTGTCTAAAGCACGTGTTACTTGCTCTACAGATACGTCCTAAATCGTCTGTGCAATACGTCACAAGCCGTCGCATGTACGTCCGTCGTAACGGTCGCATCGTGCCGGCATGTGGCGTAAGAGACGGTTTGCCCGGCCGCCGCGTCCGACAGAAGCGTGGCCTGACCCTGCGCTACCGTTCTGCAGACGTGTGCCAGGACGTGCTGTCCTTCTTCCTGGCGGCGTTCGAGGCGCTGCGGGCGCAGATGGGCGGCCAGTTCGCCGAGCAGTGTGTCCAGATGTTCATCGACGTCTTCAGCAGGGACGCGCTGGCCAGGAACATGCTGGAAGAGGGTAGGTGGCGGCTGAGAGTCTTAAGCCTGTGGCAGGGCGCGCTGACGTGTGGTCGAGTCACATTTGCCGGCGATGAGGACCGATGAGCTCTGGTGCCTGGCTCGCGTGAAGGCAGCAGTGCGAGCGTAAGCTGCGGCCGGGCTGTTCCGATGGCCCGTCGTAACCAGATCACTGTCTGGACGAGCGATGCGGTCCAAGACGAGGCACGTTGGCATGCGCGAGGAACTGAGGTCACCTAGGCCTAGCGCCGCGCTCCGTGCCGCGGTATGTCTGCGAGCTGGCCTCATCAGACGCCATCGCTCTCCACCTGCGTGTTGTGTCCCCAGCCGCCCCCACGTCCCGCTGGAGCCCTGACCCCGCCCCCGCTGCCGGCCTGACCCTGCCCCCGCTGCCGGTCTGACCCCGCGCCCGCTGCCGGCCTGACCCCGCACCCGCTGCCGGCTTGACCCGGCCACCGCTGCCGCCCTGACTCCGCCCCCACTGCCGCCCTGACTCCGCCCCCCGCTGCCGCCCTGACTCCGCCCCCGCTGCCGGCCTGGCCCCGCACCCCATTGCTGTCCTGACCCCGCCCCGCTGCCCCCCTGACCTCGCCCCCCCTGCCGCCGTGACCCCGCCCCAGCTGCCGGCCTGACTCCGCTCCCGCTACCGGCCTGACCCTGCCCCCGCGCCCCCGCCAGGCTCTGCCGGCTGCGCGGCGTTGGAGAAGTTCCTGCTGCTGCTGCGGCTGATCGTCAGCGAGCCGAGCGCTGCCTTCCGGCGGCTGCTGGCGCCGGTGCTGGAGCTGGCGCTAGAGCGGCTCCAGCCGCTGCTGGCGGAGCGTGCCTCGCCCGAGCTGAAGGTGCCCTTCTTCGACCTGCTGGCTGCCGTGCTGGAGCACAACTGGCGCTACTTCTTCAGGTGGGAGCGCCGCGCCGCTGCTGGCCGGGTTCGGGGTGTCGTTCGGCGGCGTCGGCCGTTTGTGGACCCCGGTGGGTTCCGTAAACCGAAGTGTGTCCTTGAACGGCCGGTCAGCTGGTCGCCGGTGTATCGTATTGGAAATGGACGAAGGTCAGGTCCTTCGCGCGAATCCAGATCGCGAAGAACTACTCCTGACCGCGGTCAAGTCCTCACGCATCTGTGGTGAGCATCCGTATGCATGCTCGATCTAGCAAAGACATGTTATTTCGACCATGCTGTGCTGGACTAGAGCTGCCTCGGAAATACACATGAACGGAAAGCTCCACTCTTGGGTGCTGTCATGCTTGTTCGCGGGCTGCCGCCGCCGAACTTGTGTCAACCGTGCGCGTTGACCTGCGCAGGAGCTCGGTGCTGAAGACGCTCAGCTCCGTGGCCGAGGAGGACGAGGTGACGAACGAGAAGCAGTTCGTGGCCATCCTCGAGGCCATGGGCCAGTCGTTCCTGCAGGCCGACATCAACGTGTTCCGCCTGAACTTGGCCACACTGCAGATGCTCAACTGCAAGTGGAAGCTCTATCACAAGGTCGGGCCCGAGTGCGGTGGAGGGGGGGGGGGGGGGGGGGGGCAAGCTTGTCTCGGCTGATTTGCCGACGTGGGATCACATGCCTCAGTTGATGCATCAAGGCCTTTTAGCAGGGTGATATTAGTAATTTCCTTGGAGCGCTTAGTATTTTCTATAGTGAGGAAACAGGGTGTCGAAAACTCGGTGGTTTGCATTTTTTATGTGCTGGACAGAGCTTTGTTTTACACCGGTGTCTTGCTTAGTAGTAACTTGCAGGAATAAAGCGACTAAAGCCAGCAAAAACCGGGAAATGTCGGGAGTATTGCCGTGTTCAGTTACCATCGCCGGGCGCCAAAGACTCAATGACACGTGCTATTTTTATCTAACTGAACCGAAGTAATCACCGTGTTTGGCGTGCCTACATCTTCCATTAACGGCCCCAGGTGTCCGTGTCGCCACTGTGCCGTCGCTGCCAGCACCTGCCCCTAACCCCGACCGTCTCTGTCCGACAGCCGGTGTTCCGCCGCTTGCTGCTGGCACGCTTCATGACGGTGCTGCTGCAGACGCTGCTGCAGCGCTCGCACGACCTGCTGCGCGACGAGATCGCCGGCTGCCTGCACGAGCTGGCCGCCGTCGACTTCGCCGACTTCTTCGACCGGTTCGTGCCGGGCGTGCTGCTGGACACGCCGGGCCTGGACGCGCCGCAGCGGCGCACGCTGGCCGCCCTGCTGCCGCGCCGCACCGACCTGCCCACGTTCAGCGCTGACCTGCACCGCTTCGTCAGCGACCTGCGCTACTACCGGCTGGTCAATGAGAGCCTGCGCGCCGGCCGCGGCGGCGGCCAGTCGGTCTGATGCGGCGTCGGCGCGGTGGCGAGCCGGAGGCCGCGGGTGACGGCGGTGGCGGTGAGCCAGGTCCCTGGATGACTTGGAGCGGTGATGAGCCAGAGTCCGTGGGTGACTCGGGGCGGCGGTGAGCCGGAGTCCCTCGGTGACTCGGGGCGGCGGTGAGCCAGAGTCCGTGGGTGACTCGGAGCGGCGGTGAGCTGGAGTCCGTGGGTGACTCGGGGCGGCGGTGAGCCAGGGTCCGTGGGTGACTCGGGGCGGCGGTGAGCCGGAGTCCGTGGGTCACTCGGGGCGACGGTGAGCCAGAGTCCGTGAGTCACTCGGGGCGGTGGTGAGCCAGAGTCCGTGGGTGACTCGGGGCGGTGGTGAGCCAGAGTCCGTGGGTGACTCGGGGCGGTGGTGAGCCAGAGTCCGTGGGTGACTCGATGCGGTGGTGAGCCAGAGTCCGTCGGTGACTCGGGGCGGCGGTGAGCCAGAGTCCGTCGGTGACTCGGGGCGGTAGTGAGCCAGAGTCCGTGGGTGACTCGGGGCGGCGGTGAGCCAGGGTCCGTGGGTGACTCGGGGCGCCGGTCGTGGGTGACTCGGGGCGGCGGTGAGCCGGAGCCCGTGGGTGACTCGGGGCGGCAGTGAACCAGAGTATGCTGACGAGGCGGAGTCGCCGGTTAGTGAGTCTGCCGGCGAGCAGGCAGTCTGAGACGCGGCGGCTCTGATGAGACGCAGCGGCTCCGATGAGCCGCGGTTCTGGCCGGGGGAGCCGGAGCCGGCGGAGGTGACCGGCTGAAGTCCTCCGGCAGGACGCTGGGGGTACGCCAGGGCCTGGCGGGACGGGCGACCCGCGGTGGGGCGGCTTACATGCCTTGGCTTTCCCGAAAACGTGCAATATGGAATCCCCTCGTTCCTGTCCGACTGCGGCGAAGGTTGGTGGTTACACCACACCGGCGGATCGGTGACTGCGCGGCACCAAAGTGAGACCACAGATGCCCGAGATGTGGGCGTGTTGTAGGAAGCCTATTTCTTCCTCTTCACTTGATTTGGCGAGGTGCGCCAGCTCAGCTGATGCGGCGGGGACTGGGAGTGATCTGAACTGACGCTGACTGACACTGGCTGACACTGAGACTGATCCCAACAGTACTGGCAGGGGCCGGTGCGTGCGTGACAAATGAGAAGATGCTCAACATCTTTGCATTTAGCATGACAGACTACTTTTACGATCGGACTATCATCAGAGGCGATCAGTCACCGGTACCGCTTTCTGTGGCCTCACGCCGGCACAAAGGTCTCTCCCTGAATATTTTGTTTAACGATTTTTCATTCGCAATAGTGTACCAGTTTTTCGTGGCTGCTCCAGCCCGGTGGTGGCAGAGCAGACAGACCAGACCAGACCAGACCAGACCAGACTAGACTAGACTAGACTAGACTAGACTGGACCAGACGAAACTAGAATGTACTAGAGTAGACCAGACCAGTCCAGCCCGGTCCAGACCAGACCAGACCAAACCATACTGACACAGAGAAGAAAACCGGTTCTGATACCCCTGGTGGGAACAAGACCGGAACCTTAACCAGATAAAGTCGAACTCCGGAACCTAGACCAAGGCTCGAACCGACGCCAAGGCTGTGACATGGAGCCGGGACCACTGCCGAGGCCGTGAGTCGGCCTCGGCTTCGCACCAGGCGGACAGACCGGCACCGATAACGGGATGCTTGGGATGCGCTGGCCGCCAGCGGAGCCTACGCCGCCTGCCGGTCGTCCTGGGCGGCACATAGATGGCGGTTGCTGTCGGCCACTCAGCAGGGACAGCGCCGAGTTGTTTCGGTGACGTCACACGCCGTCACAAGCGCGGTCACTGGGCTGTTTGACAGGGGAGTGACATTATACCTGGTGACAGTTGTGTACATGGTCCGGGGTGCGAAGTCAGCCTTAGGGAGAGGTGGCGCTGGCGCAGCAGACACGGGCGGCGGTAAGGGCGCTGCCGGCGCAGGGTCGGCGCTGGTGCACAGCTTCAAAAGCGGCATTGGTGCGAGCCGGGCCGAGCTGGGTCGAGTTCGGTCGCGGCGTGTGTCGATCTTGCCCCTCGCAAGCGTAGCTTCCTGGCTATTGTCAGGGAAGAAGGAGGTCCAACTGCGTGTTTGTTGTTTTTTTCACGATGGGGTGTCAAAACCCCGGGCCAGGAAGAGGAGTGTTCGTTGCTTGTTGCTTCGCCCGTTGCTTGGCGTGCCTGCGAAGGGGGGGGGGGGGGGCGAGTCGGTGGACGGTGGACGGTGGACTGAGCGAGATGCTGTCCTGCGGAGCTCTTCTGGACCGCTCCAGCAGTGGGTGGCCACTGGAGAGGCTCGGCCTCCATCCCCGCCTCCGGCGAGCGCGCCGGGCGGATAAATGACCGCGGACCACAGCAGGGAACAAAGACCGCTCAGCCTTGGCTCAGGCGTGCCTCTGGCCGCTGCAGGACGCGTGTCCGCAGTCCACCAGTGCGGTGTGTACGCCGGGCTGGCTGCTGGACGCACCTGACCTTGCCTCGTGTGAGCTGTGTCTCGAGTAGTCGTCAAGAGATCCGGTCTTGTCAGACACGGCCGGTGTTGATGTGTGTGTGTGTGTGTGTATGTGTGGTTGGGGCTGAACGATGGCGGGGGCGACGGTGCCAAGTGATAGCAAGTCAAGAGATGGCTTGTCGAGATAGAGAGAATGGCGGCGTAAATCGATAGCGTGTCCTGCGTGGCAAACTCGGCTCCAAGTGCCCAAGCGCGCGCCCGGCGGTGGACATGCGCGCGGTATCTGTACATTCTGTATATATCATTCCGTTGCTGTGATACGATACGAGTTGTAATTTATATGTTACCAATGGGTATTTTTAACGATAATACATTTTCGATACTTGTGTCTGCACCAGTTCATCGAAGCCCGGTGGTCGAACCAATGAAGGTGCGTAACATCTCGCAATCCGACAAGACCAGCCATGCGTTGGTTTCACGACGAAAGGATGGTCAAGTACAAGAGGCAGCCGCGCAAGAACCAAATCGATCTTACTCATCGACCTGGCTTTCTGTAAGTTGTGCTACCATCAGCTGTGTCCGGGGCGCTGACGTCACTGGCGCCGAGACTTCAGTGCGCAGCTGGGCACGATGCGCGTGGCGGAACATTGCGGGGCGGCCTCGACGTCGACCATCCTCGTGCAGGTTGAGGGCACGGTTGGACCGCCAGGACGATCGCGCATAATTTAACGACGAATAGGATGATGCGTTTTGCAGGCCTTTGCGGTCGACCATGACGCGGTGCGCGAGAAAGCGGAAGACGTTCACATGAGAACTGTTGCGGCGTATGACGCTTAGGCCGCCCATAGGGTATTGTGTCCCTTTCCCTGGAAGAGCCTTGTAAAGGTCGCGAGCGTTGATTTCGTTAGTAACATACGGTTCACACCTTGCACGCGCTTGGCGTAAGACTGATGCATTGCCAAGAATGCGTCGTGGGACCCCTAAATCTGCACATGGTTTTCTCGCGACGAGAAAATTTCAATTTTTAGTGGGATGGAACACGAGGTTATATTTCAGTGGCTCGTCATAGTAATGGCGTGTTACTTTCAGATCATGTATAGAGAGTTTTAACTCTGCTGGCGACTATTTGGTTGTGGCCTGCCTCCCAGTTCGGGAGGTACCCCCAAAGAAGTGGACAGTGTTGCAAGAGCCCTTTTACTCGGACCAGCTGATTCGGATTAGCCTAGACGCTAGTGCAATGCCAAAACCTCGCCCCTGGTGCAATTTGGACACCCAAAGTGTGGCGTAACGTGGACATCAGCTGATGCTGGAGGTGACATACGCGTGCCAGATCCTCGGCACGTGTGTGAACCAAATAGTACCGAAACCACTTAAATAGCGAACCAAGTCGCACTGGAATATGTTAGATCGACACGCGACGAATCATAAAGTCACATTTGTGAGCTATCTGTTAACAACAACGTTAATAGTCTAATTCACAGTAGACAACAGACAGATGATATGTAAGCCAGTGCTTCCAAGAAAGAGATGCTAAGCACCACTGTTATCTGTCGTAAAAGAGCACCCAAGACGTCATTCCCTTGTTGCCCAGTTTAGTCAAGAATATATCTAAGTTAACAGATACGGTCGGCTTACCTATATCGTTAGGTGAAGGAATAAGGTCAAACACAACTAGAGAGGTTCACCTTCAGCGGTGCAAACCGCCAGCTTCTGCGTATTGCCGCATTGCCGAATCGAACCAGTAAACACAAGGTGACACGACTAAGCAACCGGGGCCTATCAACCTCATGTGTCGGAATTAGGCGAATGTTATATTGTAGATCTTCGGTCGCAAAACTGCACCTACGCGATTTTACATAGCCCGATTAGTGAAATGGCTCGCTAACAATTCTGTTTAACGTTGTTTGCGCCCAGTGCACGCCCCCCCCCCCCCCCCCTCCTCCATGAATCCTGCGCCTGCTCCTGGTACGCATGATCAGATATTGATGTGACGTGAATAGACCGACTTCATCGCCACTCCACGCCTCGCCACGGCAGCCATGCGAGTGCGCAGCGACCGGGTTGGGGCTCAAAATGAGAAGCACCTGGGCGTTTCGCAGCACGCCACCAGAAAACCCCATTCTCCGCTCCGTGCGCGGTTGGAGACCTCCCCGAAATACGTCTTCCGCCGGGGGCAGCCGGGCCCGCCCCAGCGGGAGGTCGCCCCCGCAGCGCCGGCAGCCAGAAGTGGTGCACCCCGGCACTGTGCCGGTCTGGGCAGCCGTCCAGGCGCCCCCCGCCGAGAGTGGCGGTGGGCTAGACCGCTCTCCAGGGCCGTCCCAGGGCCCGCAGTCGGCGGCGAGAAGGGAGGCAGACGCGACGCGGCCGTCGGTAGGCGCTGTTCGGTGCGCTGTCCGGGTGCGTCTTCGAAGCTGGGCGGGCTGTCGCTGAACGTCTCCGGCGCACCGTTGGCGAGGCTCATCCGTCGGACTGGCCGGCCAGAGCCGGACTGGGAAGTGCCAGAGCTGGAACGTGGGCTTTCAGAGCCGGCACCGCGCGGAGTCATCTGTTTGACTCGTCCGTGAAGAGCTACTATAGTCTGACGGCTGTCATTCCGCGCCTGACGGCTGTCATACCGTGCCAGGCGCCTGTCATAATACGCCAGGCTTTTGGCCATCAGTGAACCCCTGTGAACAGTCCAGACTGTGAGTGGGCTCTGTGAGCTATGTGTGGATTGCCAGAGATGCAAGTAAGGCATCAGAAGCTGTAGGAGCAGCCAGTGCGTCCAAGAGTCCTCCCTTCTAGGCCACAGTCACGGGTCGCGGTCACCCACGCAGGCAGTCACGATGCTGAAATACCTGATGGGATTCTTCTGTGTCTTCGTCTCCTGCTGCGGCTTCCTTCTGTAGCTGACGCCGCTCCTGACTTCACCCAACTGGGGCCAGGCGGCAAGTGGGAGCGGCTCCCACCTGACAAGAGCTGCGTACTTCAGTCCAACTGGCGTCCTAATCACACTTATACGTTCGCCACGGTTGATCAGGCTCGGTACACGTGACTCTTTCATCGACAAGTCTGGGTTGCGCAAAGAAAAAGAGGACTGTTGACGGAGGATCGCGCCGCTGAGGAGACCGCTGGCGCCGTCTCCGTCTGACTGGTGACGTCAGCTGACTGGTGACGTCAGCTGACTGGTGACGTCATGCCCCGCCGAGGCGACGCTCCGCCATCGCTAGGAAAGCTGCCTCGGCTGATTCTGCTAGCCTGCATGAGGGCCCTCAAGCTGTCCCCGCCCAGCTGCGTGCTGTACGCACTCATGCTGCTAGCAGGCCGCGTCACTGGGGTCAGGATGAACCCCGCCGGTCACTGATCGGGTCACCATGGTCAGGATGAACCCTGCTGGTCACCGATCGGGTCACCAGGGTCAGGATGGATCCCGCCGGTCACTGACCGGCAGGGTTCATCGCCTGTCCGTCAACAAACGCCGGTCTCCGACCGAGTCATCAGGATCAGCACGCACTCCGCCGGACACTGACCAGGTCACCAGCGTCAGGAAGACCTCTGCCAGTCACCTGTCACATCAGCTGAGTCAGACTGAACTCCGACCATCACTGACTGGAACACCGGGTGAATGATCGGGTCCCATGGGTCACCAGAGTGGATCCGGACAATCGCTTGACGTGGTGACGGCAAGGCGCACTCGGTGTGAAGCGAGACGATCCTGTCCGTAACTAGATCATCAAAGTCACTGACGGTGACCTCGGCCAGCAAGACTGATGCGAACAAGCTGCAGCTGCTGCTTTCTAGGCCACACACAGCTAAATTATCTGGCGTGCTGACCTCTGGCGTGCTGACAAATTCTCCTGGCGGATGCACTGCTCGGTCGGCTGTCCGCAGGCTGTTCGGTCACACCCACGGGAACTGTGTGGATGTTTGATGGAGTGCTCTACTTCGCTGTTATGGCGTGACTTACGGAAAAAATGACACAGACGGATCTCATCAGGGGATGAATGTGTCAAGTGTGCCGTGTGCGGCGGTGTAGGGTGCACCATGTGCGATGATGTGCTGACTTCGGCACAGGCAAACATGACCGATGTGTGTCTTTCAGTTAACTGTGTAATGACGTGTACTTTAAACATCAATACAGTTTGCCCTTATGCTCAGAATAGCACCGCATTGCGATTGCTCTCCGCCAAAAGCGTCACTTTGGTGAGATCTGTCGATATTCGATGACTCCATGCGAGAATACATGCACCCGCACATTCTTAGGGTGCTTGAAGTCTATCGTTATTTAAATGGTGAGCTTCAGTTTGCGTGATGAGCATATGATTAGAGCTCTATGTGATGGGTAATATTCAACGTTCAATCACCAAATACGGGCATTTCCTCCCAAATAACAGCAGAAGAGATGAATACAGCAGAGGGTTGCAATTTTCCCCTTTCGCTGCTTTGGATCAATGAGGCAAAGCGCTTTCCATTGCTTTAGTCCAACAGTTCTTTTTTCCGGAATATCACTGTCACTGCTTATAAGCATAGAGCAGACATGCACTTGCACGTGAGGGAAGGTGCACGCGGAAAAATGTCAGTTCTGCTCCCGATCAGCTTCATTTCCTTGCTCTTCCACATCGTTACCGTAATTGACGGCGGCTGTTGCAGCAAAACTAGATAAAAGCTATCTTCTTTTATTTGCACACTCGGACATTCTTCCCGTCTGCTTAAAAAAGTCATGAACTTTTTAAAGATTTAATGCGAACCTTTTGAATGGATGGATTGCTATGATCAGCCCTCACGCTAAACAGTGCTTGTTGTGTGAGCTCTGACCTCTGCCATCCGATCGTGCAATTGCAGGCCAGTGGCGGAATTTAGAGGTAAGAAGTTAACATTCCGCGATGCCCTGCACTCTGACGCCACCTGACCTTTAGCGCAACCGCTGCCACCGGTCGCAGGCCATACCTGGCAAGAGACGATAGCAATGCCTAAAGTGACTCGAAGCTACCTCGCCACGGGCGGGTGGATCGGAAGAGAGGCGCTCTAACCAAATGAGCTGTCGGGAAGAGGAAATCGTTTAGCGATCAGTTAATGCCACCATATTTATTCTCATAGGCACCAGCGTGACGACACATAGTTACGGAAGGTGTTAGGCGTACTGGTGTCCGAGGCTGTCGAGAGAAGTCTCTTGAATGTGATTAGAAATCGGAAAACACATCACACCGTGTCTCACATTATCAAGCCACAAGTGCCCAAGTCTAGCGACTTCAAACGCGAATAAGGGATCGCCTATATATAATATGAAATCGATGCAAAAGACTCAACCTTCTCGACACGAAACTCGGACAAATTCAGCCAATATCCGATATATACAAAAGAAACAATCGCTCATCAGCTCATTATCTTGCGAGCCGAGCGAAAGAACACTGTTGGCACTTCACGAATGCGAAGGATATGTAGTCCACCTGCGTCCCGTGGGTCCGTCATTCGCTCGGAATTTCCAGATCATTATAGTACTGTCCGGGTTCCCGTTCGCCCTCGCAGATGGGCGAGAGCGCGTGCTCCTGCGGCGCCAGCTCGGTGATGAGCGGTGTGTCCACCACGTCACCGGTGAAGGCGTAGAGTTGCGCCGGCTTGTTCTTCCACAGCCACGAGCGGCAGTCCTTCTTGAAGCTGCCGACCATTTCGGTCCGGTCGTGGAAGCGTCCCTGAAACCACTGCAGTGACATGGGGATATACTTGACCTCGATTCGATTCGGGATCGTCTGGTCCCAGCCGTCGTAGACCAGCGCTGGTCGGTCCTGCTCGTACTCGGTGCCGTCCGGCGCCTCTGTTGGTGGATTGGGAAGCTGAGTTTCATCCGGGCCCACACAGATGTCGTGGCAGTGGGTCGTGGTGATGATCACTTCCGAGAAATTGCGCGGCGGAGTCGACACGGGAGCCCTCTGCTGCGGGGCCGGGATGGTGATCGAGTCCTCTTGGTCCACATGGTTGGGGCTCGTCGAATTCGGCAGAGAGTGCAGGAACGACGGGGAACTGAACCGATTCAGCGAGTGGCGCAGCTCCTTGCTGAGGTCCTCCCACGAATCACCAGAGAGGCGACGGTTCTGTCACGAAAAGTCACGTTTCGATATGGATGCAATGCTGAATAATCATTGCGTGAAACGAAATGTCCCTGTGCTGACTGCATGAGAACCGCAAATGTCGTTCGAGCCCGGTTTCATACCTGCTTTGTCGTAACTAGTGCCGTCTAAACTACAACGACCTTTGGAACCACGAAGTCAAAAACATGGCGGTTCAACATTTTCATGCGCAAGATAGGCTTTCTGCCTAGCATTTGCAGCTGAGGCTCGACACATGACGTTTGACGCAACTTGACGGAAACTCGCACGGTACGCCAAAACATATTTTTGATCACGATCTCATAAATACTATACTGTACGGCACGGAAACGGCAGAGATGTACCAACTTTCAAACCTCTTCACTGTCTACGTAAGATCCGTCAATCGTCATAAGTGATGCGCTCGAGCACGCTTACACATAAACAGGATTTCGCTAAATGCCAATGATTGATCCGGCCATGTACTGTTTACATACGTCGAAAAACGGACATGGAAACAACGCATAAACGTGAAATTTGTGTGCTTACAAAAAATTGGTAAAAATACTTACACATTTTGTGTCACTTGAACTGCGCAATTTATCACTCATATTGAGACAACCCTGTGCAATTTTAAAGGCACCTTACACGTCGTAAAGGTCAATGCTTATGCTAAACTTATTCTTGTTTTCATGCAAACTCTTGCATAGCTTGTAACGAGCACTTTCGATTTAGGGGTGCTAGTTGCCGAGTGAAAAGGGCATGAGCGAACATTTGGAGAAAAATCATTAAGTACTGTCGTACCCTTCTGCATGGACGTGACTTTGCAGAACGGATGTGACCCAATGAATACTTCTAGTTCAAACTGCATGGTATCCGCCGGTCCCAGTCTTACCAAGAGTGCCAAGTGCTGACTTGTCGTATAGGGCATTATTTTGTGCTAGACCAAAAGAAGCCTCAGCCTAGCCAAAGCCACAGCCGACGCATCAGTGTCCTCAACCAATACTTACCTTTTGGCCTCATTAGAAAGGCACCTTATTCAGACAACTTTTTAGTAGCTACTTTTGAAACTATGGTCAGTTATGCTTTGGGTGTGTTGAAAATACGGCATTAAGCAGCCTTATGAGGCAGCAGAGCACAGCAAAATGCAAAAAATTCGGATATATGCTATGGTTCAAACAACACTATCTCCTGCCGAATCTTGTGTGCAGTTGTGATTGTTCATGCTGTTGCTGGACAGCACTGTCCATCCGTTAGCCTGCCGCTGCTGTCCGACAGATTTCAGGAAAACATGGCAGACATCGGAGCTTATGTAGCCTGCTTGACCCTGTCGCTGCCCTGTGAAGCATGCGGCCACCCACCGCTTGGACTTCACATGCGTGCGATATATAGTGTCGAATGCAACACAAAACCGCCACAATTGAGCTACATAGTACACGTGTTTTCAAGCATAGCGTTACCAGAAGCCGTCAAATTTTGAACACAAAAATCAAGTATCTTAAAGGGAGTGGTCCACACTCAGTAGCGGAGGCGGGGGGGGGGGGAGCACAGGGGCACATGCCTCCCTTAAATTCCAGAGAACCCTCCGACAGTTGATTACCGGCCACATCATCACTGACCCGATACCGCTCGCTCGTTTGTCAAACCGAGAACTTACGCCACAGTCGAGAGGCCTCACTCGGGGTTCCGGGCGTCTTTTTTTCGCGGAAAAGAAGGGATATTTTCATATCACGTGTCCACACAACTGGGGATCAGAAGATATATGCACTTTTCTGCGTATTTGGGATGTAAGTGCTGCTTTCTTCGTAGCCATGGTGCGTGCCAAATTTTAACGCCTTATGATGCAGGCAGCCCTGGTTTCATTGAGTGATAATTAGCCCTGATAGCCCCGAAAAAGCTGCATCCGAAACTTTTGAACTGCATACATCTCTGGGGTGGGCGTCGACGCTAAGAAGCGCTTGTTGCGTGATCCATGACCGCACCATCCGATAGCAAAATTCAGGTTAACAACACATTTATGGTGAGTCCTTAACGTGCCGCAATGCTCGGATCGGTCAACAATGCCCTCTGACGTCACCCGACCGCTGGCGCGGCCGCTGCCACGGGTGGCGGGCTGTCCCGGTCAGGGTCAAATAACGAGCGCTTGAAGCGACTCGAACCCACCCCACCACCAGTGGGAGAATCGGAACGGAGACGCTCTAACGAACTGAGCTGTCGAGAGGGGCTAGATTTCAGGCTAGGTAGGCTTCGGGACGGAATTATTTAAATTCGGTTCACCGGTATATTTTCCACCTAGTGTACTACATCAAGGTTGTGAGGAGTGGAAGTAACACACTTTGTGCGGTGTACTCAGGGTTGAAAAAAACTATTGAGGCGGTGTTCATCTATTTTTGTGAAGAAATCTACCGGTAAGCATAGGCTCAAATCGTCGGGTTTCCTCATCATATCCAATACCCTCTTGATAACATCGCTCCTCACCCCTAGTACCATGAAGGTCGATCATTTTCAACATGAGAACTCCAAACTCATAACGCCAAGACACGGAGAGAACATGACCTTTTATCCGTATATCAACTTTCTACATACGTTGAAGCGTCGGTCGCGCTATTCTGCACGTATATTCATTATACACGAATACACGCTATTATAGCACGTATTCCACGCGCTATTCGCTGGTAACCCGCCCGGCCACTAGCCTCTACCTACCTTGTCCTTCCAGTGATCGACTTGTCTACTGAGAATGGTGTGCAAGTTCAGTTTGTCAAAATAGGTACATCCTGACCGCTCTGAGTCATTACACCACAACGTGCAGATCGCTGCACCGTGACTCGTCTCACTATCGCTTGCTGTTTCCACCGCGGCGGGAAGCGCGCCCACAGGCAACAGCTGGACGTCCGCTCCGGCTGCTCTGCAGACACCAGAATAACTGGCGTGATGTACCGTCTTGTGATGTACCGTGTTGAGTTAGGTACGATGACGTAATCGAACCTTGACGCATCCAGCAGCTTGTTTGCTAAGCAGAAATATGTATTGTCTAGAGCAGTCTTTTCTCCTTAAAAAGTATGCCAATGGTTATAAGTGAGCTTGTTTCATCATATCTGATGCTTGCTTCAGTATCTCCAAATGTGAAACATTCCTTTTAAATGGTGCAGCCAGAATTTCGCCCTGAACGAGGCTAACATGAGCCATGGCCTATGGTGGTTGTTACGGACAAAATAGCTGTCCATCATGTATCTTAACGTCTCAGCAGGTCACTTTGCTGTACTCTTTGTCTTTTCGTCTGCCATTTAAAGACTGAGCTTTCGCCCTTCAAGGTCAAGGTCAAGGTGACCAAATGCCTAATAGATTGCTCCCATTTTGCCAATCGAATAAAAGCCAAGATTACGTATGAGAGTGGGTCTCTGGCTCGCTTCTTTTCAAGAGTTGATGAACATAAATGAAACAGTGGTGCTGTTATGAGCCATGCTGCCGAGTTTAATCTTTAGTTCCTGGAACGCATCAGCTACTGATTTCCCGAAACGTATTAAGATACCAAAATTTAACTATGCATATTTGAGTTGTTCAGTGCATTTGCGAGTAGCATTATTCACATATATAAGACGGCAGAAATAAACTGATTCCTCGGGGAAAAACCAGGAGAACCAGTCTATTTCTCCACTCTCTCGGTTTTTGTGCGAGGAATAAGGCTATTACTACTGACATATATATGCATATTTGACACCAAAACGTAATTTCGTAAGCCGGCCTCTTCGCCCACTGAAATGGCTTGAACACAACAACATATGTTTTGCGTTGTGCGCGCGACAATTTGCTGCACATTCTCCCCTTTTCCAAGGAATCTCTCATTTTCCCAAGTCCTCTGTATTCCGTCCATGTTGCCTATAGCTTGAAGTTAAATGGGATAACGGTCGCATTCTCAAAGTATTGTCGATAGCAGTAGCACTCTTGAATATCTAGCATAGCGGTGCGTTAAATATGATCGCACAGCGAGGACAGCTGTCCGTCCCGCTCTAGAAAAACTTAAAGTTCACTCGTGCTTAGAAACAGGATGTCTGGGGGGGGGGAGGGGGGGCGTCCAATATTTGAGGCGAGTAGCTTCTTCTTTATCTGAACTCCCAAACTTTTTGGCTCGAGCAAATCAGCACAAAACAATCAAGAAGCACAAGTACGTTTGGTAGTGTTTAATTTTGTACACCCTCCTTGACATAACTTCTATGAGCATTGGAACTTTGGATTTGACATAGGCTGCTTCCCTCGGAGTTAAAGTTCTCACTTCCCAACTTAACACGAGGGCATGGAACATAAGCACTGTCGCCACGTAATCTCGCATTGGCAACTGATTCATGAAGGACGTCACGGGATGTGTGGTTAGTATATCTCCGGCTACTGGTTGGCTGTCCCTGGAATATCCACGTTGCGGGACAGCTGGGAGGTTCATGGAGCGGCGCATGCCAATGGTGCAGTCTGCTCCAGACAGTGGGAGAGGCAGTGTCTCACGCGGCTGGACCAGCTCCAGACGCGCGCGAGAGGGATGCCGCGTTCTGCCGGCGTCCGGTGGTGGCCGGCCTTCTCGGCGCTGGTCTGCCTCGCAGGCTGCGGTGGTGACCTCTACACGGCCGGCACCCTGCGGCAGTACCTCAAGGAGGTGGTCAACGAGGCGCTGAATGTTCACTGCGAGAGTCTGAAGCAGTCAGGGGGTGGATCCAGTGCCTTTCAGTGCAGCTGCCCTGCCGGCTTCAAGTGGTGCGCTGGGCACTGCTACAAACGGCAAGAGGCGTTCATGACGTACGACCAAGCTGAGGCCAGCTGTGTACAGATCAACTCACACCTGGCGGTGCCACGCAGTCGTGAAGAGAACCTGTGCGTCGCCGTTATGGCCAGTGAACAGAACATCTGGCTGGGCATCAACGATCGGGATAACGAAGGTTCATTTGTCGATTGGGAAGGTCATCCACTGTCGGGAGATCCCTTCACCGCATGGGCCCGTGGCCAGCCCGACAACGCTTTTGATGGAGAAGATTGTGTGGAGATGTGGGGATCGAAATCGAGTGAACATGTCATATACGCCAAGTGGAACGACAGAAAATGCACCGTCAACAATCCTTCAGTGTGCCAACTGGCGTAGGCAAAGTATCCAATGCGACCGACTGAAATCTGAAAAGGTTTGTGATTTGATGTGTTTATTTCCGTCTTCGCTTTCTGAACCGGTCGGGTTGACCTATTTATATACTGTCACTGAAATAAAAGCGGATGTAAAATGGTACCAGCTGATCTTATGTTATGCAACCGAGATTGTCGGAGCAGGAGTTGAGCATGGCTGGAAACCGAGCAGTTCTTATAACAACTGCTCAGAATCCGATGAGGGCTTACTGGTAAAATGTGTCAAAAAATGGAAAACTTTCTCGTCATTCTCACAGAATGATTGAGTCGAGATGTTTCTGGGCTCACTACCCGTTTCCCACACTCGGAGGACCCCGAGTCTGTAATCTCAGCATGGGTCTGCAGTTCACGGTGTCAACCGTACACGTCTAGCCGCGCCACATGCCTCTCCAGTGAGACAAGCAAGCAGATCAGAAAGCTTTTCTGCTTCGCTCAGACCCGATGCTTGTGCACCAGTGCATTTAACAGCGAGCGCCAACGAGGTCACTGTAGCGGGAAGC